CCAGCATTTATGGCTAGCTGCATATTTTGAGGGGGTTCATATACTAAGTGTTTAAAGGGTTCTCTGCTTAGTTATATTTCAGCAAACAGCTATTTCAGAAAATGCGCTAAGCCCAAGCTACACGGGCAGTAATTTATCTAAGTTGTGCATCCCTTTCTGAATTTGTGCATCTTAATTATGGGGAATTGAGGGAATCTTAATTTCTTAATGTGTGAGCTTCTACCTCGTTTTTAGGTTAGCTCTTTCATTGGTGGGCAGAAGGTAGGGAGAAGGGACAGGAAGAGGCCTGTCTTCTGACTGAGGGGGCAAGAAGAGCTGGGCTCTGTTCCAGGGTGTCTTATATCCTCTGCTGGTGCTCTTTTGACTGGGAAATATGAGGTCATTTGTCCATAATGATTAATGTGGTGGCCTCAGCAGACTTATTAAGTTAAGGTTTGCATGTCTCAAATTTTCTCAGTTGAAGTTGTTGAAAAAAAAAAGGAAAAAAAAAGAAAGAAAAAGACTAAGGAACAGGCAATACAGTAGAAAAAGGTTTGGATAGTCACTGAAGTTTTTTTGTTTTTTTTTTTTAACCCATGTATGAACAGCAAATAGTGCAAATTTAAAAAGTACACATGAATAGAATGAAAATGATTTCCATGTTTATGTTTGTCAGCAACATAGTTATTTACAAATAACCCATAAGAAAATGTAAAAAAAGCATATTACATCTTCACATGCCATCTGTATTGTATTAACTGAATAAAGCTTAGTGACATTTTCAAATCTGTAGTTAATTGTACATAGACATTTTGTGCGTTAAAAAAGAAATGTACATAATTTAAAATAAATTACACAATTTACAAAGTAATATTAACAAAAACTTCTTAGACAGCTGCCTCCTAACTTAAACAAAATAAATATTCAGGTAATTAAATTAAAAAAAAACACATTTAGGGGATTATAATTTATATAAAGACATATTGCAAATTTAATAAAGTTATATTTTACAATGACCAATACTGATCTCTTCAAATCTCTGTGCTACAAAGAGTCAGGAAAAAGTACCAGAAAGGGAATCTTAATGTTTAATTTTTAAAAATAAACCTAGATAGACTGCTGAAAAATAGTTGTGAAAATTGCATTGAGGGTTCAAAGTAGATGCTCTAGAAACTACTGACTTAAAAAAAAAAGTCTACAAAACACAATAAGACTGACAGTTATATTCTAAATAGACTAGAGATTTTGACCGCTGAAAACATGATTGCCACAAACTAAAAGTCTTCATATACTGCCCGTTTTAAGACCTGGCTTGGTAGAAGCATGAAAACCTAAAACTACTAAGTTAACTCTAGCCACTTAGGATTTGTTTTACTCATTTAATAATGTAGACATAACCATTTCCAGTGTTCTGCTGGTACAGAATTACTGTAATCACACTGCAAAACATCCTTTTTATAAAGAGTCAGGTTTGCTAGGCCCACACTCCAGCTTCAAACCCTGAAATCCTCTTCAGTCACGGCCACCTGAAGGTAAGGAGGGGGTGGGACAGGCAGGTGTTTTTGTTCTCACATTTAAACTAGCCCCACGAAAACTCACTTTTTGACAAGATGCTTCACAGATTTGTTCCTATACTGCTCTCCTTTCAACACCCTCAGTCTCAGTGGGGAAAATATCACACGAAACATATTTGAATTTGGTAATATTTTACAAAGAGATCTCAGATTATTTTGGAGGCATGATTCTTGGGAATCTATTCAAACTCCAAATAAGTCTAGGAACAGGCTGTCCTTTCAAAGGTACAGGCCTGCCTTACTGTCCTTTAGGGTGGGTCATGAATACAGAAGCAAGGTAGAGGTAGGAGCATACGGAGTCATACTAAATAAGAGTATAAAAAGGGACATATTTACAGAAGGTCTTTTTTTGAGGGGGGCATGTCTTCTACATCTTTCCTTACCTTTTTACTCATGTCTTTAAGCAGTACATTTAGTTTAAATCAAGATGTTCACACTCTTAGTGACACTTTACTAAAGGTAAGGAATGTAGACCTTCACCTTCCCCGCCCCCCACCACCTTATTTAAAAATTTGAGCATGTTTAGTAGAAGCTAGTTCTGAGAGAAGTCAGTAAGATTACGTTGTAAGCAGACTAGAGACCAGAGGAAATCATTATAAAGAAGCAAAAGTATGATTTGGAGGAGGTAAAAGAAATAAACAAAACTGAGAGGTGTTAATCCCTGTAAGAAGTTCTGGGTAAGTGACTTTATCTTGAAAAGTCCAGGAACGTAGCAGGGTTCTGGTTCAGCCACGGTGAATGTTGCCACCTCCCTTGGGTGGAGGAGGATTACAGCAAAGCCTAAGAGCATAGCCTGAGACACGGACGTTCCATCAGGAAAAATACCACACTGGAAGCAAATCCAGAGTGAAGGGTGATTGAAGTGCTTTCTTTACTGATGAAACATTTTCCCTTCTTCTGAGTATCTTAGATAGGTAGGTATACAAAAGCCACGAGTAATTGTATTACAGTGCCCAGCAGAGGGTCTTACATATGATAATTCCAAGAAATAGGTCTTGTTATGAGTAACTTGTGCTTTGTTATAAGTAATTAAGAACATGCTTTTATGCACTGCTTTTCAAATCTGCTTTAAGCTACATGGTAGTGTCCTCAAAAAGGCTTTCAAATAAGAATTATGGTCCATATCTTAGATTAGGTACTGATAAATCAACTCTTTTCAAGAGAGATCAGTTGTGCCAGTTCTATGTGGTTTATACTGAAATAGTCCAACAAAATAGCATATAATACTGTGTCATTATTTTCCTTTTTTTCTTTTTTTAACCAAGCCAACCTTCATATTTATAGAGCAGTAGTTCTAAATCTTTTTGGGCTCGCAGGCCATTTTGATAAGGCAAAAGTGTCAACAGACCAGTTACTACTATATTTCCCTCCTGAATTGTCAGAATGAACAGGAGGAATAAGGTTTTGATGAAATTCTAGTAACATACTTATTATTGACTGATGCCAGGAACAAAAATAAGGCTATTATCATGTTCTAAACATGAATAAAGTAACCTTCATTTGTCCAAAATAGCTAGCTGGCTGCATGCCCTTCCTTTTATTTTTCTAGTAAGAGGGCACCTAGTATTTATCCTAGTGGTGAACTTCCAGTATGTTCCCTAGTTTTAGGTCCCATTGAACTTAGTCTCCTCTGTGTATGTAGTATTATAAAATTTAATTCATTTATGAACAAAATATGTATTTTCATAAAATTTTATTGTGATCAATTCATTCTTACAGGGTGGGTTGGATGATACTGATCTGCCTTCTGAATTAATGACATTTTACTGTATCCTAAGTATAGCTTTTGTAGCAACAATATATTCAGTAATTTCAAAGTTATTAGGTTTTACATACATTTTATAAGGCTATTAGCTAAATTCTTCAAGTAACTACAAAAGATTCTTTCTCAACTATTTTGGACAAATGGAGTTCATTTTATTCACAGAGACCAACTTGAGGATATCTGGAAGACCCCTGAGTACACAGACTAGCAATCACAGTTTTAGAGCAACGGTATTATTTTTATCTTCCTCTTCAATAAGACCGATGCAATGGAGTTTGCTTTTATGCTTCGCCTTGTTTAAATCCTTGGTTTAAAGAAAAATTCTCCTCTTTGTGACCACCTGTTTGCTTTGAAATGATTGCTTTGCCTAACACAGTGAGTAAGGCATGCATGCTTTCCACATTTAATTCATATTAATTAATTCAGGGAGAAATCTGTTCGTTTTGGGGGCAAAGACCTATCCTAATCAGATGCCTTTTTGTAATCTTTGCAAATACTTTAATGAACAGCAGGGGGAGTCCAAACTCTACTTGAAGGTAAAACACTAGTCTAAACCAGTTTTATAGCAACACAGTTATGTTTAAGATAGAGTAGCTTATTACATTATTTTTTAAAGGACCTGAAAACCTAATGTCCTCCCCTCTACCAAAGCTTGTTGCAGTAAATGTTGCCTGAAAAATGGAATTGCTTTTTAATGGCACCATTTGATTTTTTTTTTTTCTCCATAAAAAAGAAGTTTGCCAAATTAGATAGTATTTCACTGTGCCATTCCCACGGCTACATGTGTGAAAAATATAACTACTTAAAAAACAGTGATAAAGTTTAATGACCATTTTTCATCTTTGAAATTAAACACTGATGGCATTCTAAGAGTGAATGAATGAAACAAAAGATACAACAGAGAGTTAAGCACTGAGAAAACTACTAGACCAGTGGTTTGCAAAGCACAACCTGCAAATGTAGCATGCTGACTGGTGTCACAAAGGTTCACTGGAAAACAGCCATGCTCATTCTTCTTTGTATCGTGTATCGTCTACACTTGCCTCCTCACGATGATGGAACTGAGCAGGTACAACACAGACCTGGCGGAAAATACCTACTATCTGGCCCTTCACGGAAAAAGTTCGCCACCCTTGGTCTAGATAGTTAATGAAGCACCACACACACTATTTATTCTTTTTTGGACATTTAAAGTTTTAAAATCCTACAAAGACTGCTTCAAATTTTACCAGTGAGAAAGACCAAATGATGGATACATTTGATGCAAAACTAGGAAAAACAAATCCGGGAAAAAGAAAAATCACAGGATTTTGAGTTGTTTTAGTTAAAAAAATGATCAGGACGTTATTTTCTCCATCTGCTCAAAATTAAAAAGACAACTGGCTCCTTTTTTTCTTTTCTTTTCTTTTTTTAACAAAGGTAACAAATATAAAAATCTAGTCGTAAACTGCCTTCAAAGTACAATTAAAAACCAACTAGAGAGATCCATCTTTTGAAGGGTTAATGAGTTCGGGATTAGGACATTGAAATTATGGCCACGTTGTCGATTTCATAATGGCTGCAGCAATAAGGAAGAGCGTAGACAGCAGGTGTAATAGCTAATTCCATCCAGTAGCCATTCAAACTGAACTTTAGTCTCTTCTGGATGTAAGAACTTGCAAATGGCTCCATGATACTCTTAGCACAGGTGTCTTCATCCCATATGAAAAGAGGCAGTTTCTATGGCAATCCTGGTTAAGTGCCTATCATGCTGCACTAATATAGTGCAAAAATATGCCTTCCATATAGCAAAAGAGATGCAGTCAACCAGTTTGAAAATTAGGGAAAGTAGAAATGTATTAACACAAGCAAATTAGTTTTCCAGACAATAACCACTATAAAATACTGAACTTGAGGACTTTTTTTTTTTTTTCTCTAAGATACTAGTACATGTCCAGCATTCGTACTTTGGAGAAAGACAAGAATTAAATCTTATAAAAGAGTCTTTGCCTCTGAAATGCAGGTTAATGAAAGCTACCATCAACCACCAAGATGCTGAACTTACTCAATGGATTCTCTGCTCAGCTTAGAGCTTATCTCTTATTCACCATTAAAACTGCTTATTAACAAGTACACAGTCTGACATAGTAATGTGTATCATTCAATTGAGTATACATGTTGTTATGTTGACTATAATATTGTAGAGATCTTGGTATAAACTCTTCCTGCTAAAATGTTACTATGGGTTAACACTGCCGACAGAGGCTTGCATCAGGTGTTCTAACTGACCAATTCCACAACCGTATTTTAAAGATGAAAGTGAATGGTCAGTTGGTAGATTTCTGAAAAGATCACACAAAAATCTCTCAGAATGCAGCCTGTAGCCAACTAAATCTCCTAGAATTCTCATCGCTGATTTTTTATTTTTACATAAGTGGTACTATCTTGGTATCTCCATTGGCACTGATTTTCACTCTTTGATGTTCTTTTAAAAAGTTACAATGCATTCGAATTCACATAGTATGAAGAGCTTTGTGGCTGTTGGATGTCTACTGCAAAGTCAGAAAGCTGAAACTGGTTGTTGCCTGGGGAAGTTCTATTTTACATATCTGCATCTCCATCGTAGGCTAAGGTTAAAGGTTTCAGTCGGTTGTTTTGCCTTCTTTGGGGTTTCTTTGGCTTTTTGCTGTAGATAATAATAAAAATAATTGGAGAAGGAAAATCAATCTCTAATCGTAAATTTTACTGTCTTAAATGAAAAATTCAAGCTATATTGATAAAGTTGCCTAACTGCCTAATGACCTAAATTCAACCTTAAAGTTTGATTTTCTGGTATCTTTGAATTTCTTACTTAATGCTCTGAATAAACCTGAAATAGAACCCATCAAATATTTTATTATCCTACAAAAGAATTATCAAAGGAAATTTCTCACTAACAATGGAAATAATACTATAGTATAATCAATATTTGACCAGAAATCTTTATAAATAATACATAATTTATAATATATGTTTAAAAAGATAGATGAGTAAAATTAGGTATCACCATAATATCTTTCTCCAGTAGTAATTCAGTATCAAACTCCATAGTTCACGATAAGCATACAAAGCAATATTATCTTGTATAACCAAGGACAACATACTTGAGATGACCTGGAGCAGCTCTGGCTCATCTTCAGATAGTAAATGGCTCAGATTTGGTAGTTTTTAGAATATCTATGACTACAGCTATTTTTATTTCTAATTTCAGATAAGCATATTAAATAAGTGTGGAATACTTGAGACAAATTACTGTTTCTGTATTATAGTCAACTGACAGTGTTTTTGCTGAAATAGATATGTATCCCCTTAGATTTTGAAATATTTAATCACTCACCAAGCTAGATAAATCATGGAGACAATAAAGATGAGTAACACAAATGCCCCAGCTGCTACACCGTAAACCCAGGTCTTTAGTCTCCCATCTAAGAAGAATGGATATTAGTTATTAATTTACATTAGTCTGGTGTGTGTGTGTGTGTGTGTGTGTATATGACAGTCTTTAACTATGACCAATGACCAGTCACCTACGGCCAAATCCTTTCAAAACAAAATGAGTTACTGCTTAGGCACAGTTAATGATTAATGCAAAGCTGCCATTATGAGTTAGATGCTGCTTCATTAAAGGTAAATTATCAATGAGAATTAATGGGAAAGAAATAATATTTTCAATTTGCATTCAGATTTCAAGTTCATATGCCTAAATTTTTGTAGCTTCTTATCTAAATTTTACTTAAAATTCAGTGTATGTGTAATGCTAACTAAGCATTTTCTTATTTTTATTCCGAGAATGGCAATTATAAGAAGAAAAGTAATGCAACTTCAATAAAGTCCTACAGCTTAGCGTTAATGCAGACAGGTTTGTGAACATAAATTTTGTCATTTTAACCTTTTTTTCTGAGATGAATTGAAAGTGAATATATTTAACTTTTGGGGGGAATTAATCTTTTATCTAATTTATACTTAACACTGTACTTTATAGTTCAGTCAACAATATCCTTTGTAAAAATAGCCAAATTTGATAATAACTTTTTAACTCCAAGTAACAGTTTTCTAACCTTTTATTATATGGAATTAGGCAGGGTAAGAACTTTTCTAATTTGATTTTCTAGTCTCATTTTCTTTGAGGTTCTTAGTTTTGTGTTCAGAATAAACTTCAATTAGATGATAGTATTAATGACTTTGCCTAACTTGATCATTACATCAACATGTATTTTCTGTTGCATAGATACATTATATTACTGCTAAAATTAATGCTAAATTTATAGATTACTGCTAAAATTATAGACTAGGCAAATTGACTCCATAGACACTATTCAATATTTGGAAGGCATCGAAAACAAATCAGTACTGTGGAAGTTTTTCTGCTTAGAGCTCGATCAACTTAGGGGTCCATTTAATATTCTAAATATAATTCTTTTCAATTCTGAGGATTTTAAAAATTAGAGACTGGGTTTAAAATCAACCCAATTCTTGGGTTCATCTGCCTTGAGAGTTGTTTTTCAACAAATATTCTTGGAGTTTTAAAAAAACCAAGAACAAAGTCTAAATGTACTTTTTAAGAACATAAATCTCTTTAATATATTAAAATATTCATTTTAGGGAGGGTATATACTTAAAATGACAATATTCTCTTTTTAAACTTTTTTTTTTCTTTGATGTGAGAAGGTCTGCTTGGATTCTTAGTTGAAGTCAAGATTGCTAATAGCCATTTGCAGCTCCACTATCTTGAACACTGAGAGAAGAGCTTGCCAGGTTTGCACAAACAAGTCAACTTTGCAAAATATATTTTCAGCTAACAGCCATATGAAGGCAAGAACAATGTGGTTAAATCACAGTGTTTTGGTTAAATCATCCAAATACTGAAAATACTTAAAATCCTTTTAGTGATTCTCTAATAAGGGAAATTGTTTTGACTTAATTCATTAGAAATAGAGATGTGCTGTGCAGATTCCCTCCTTTCTCATATTTCTAACAACAGTAAAGTAGACTATGCCTGGCTTTGCCTGGGTATTTCCTTTGGCCATTAACTAGTAATCCCTCTTGGTGTGGGGGAAAAAACACCATGATCTGCACTACCTTACAGCCCTTGCAGCACAATTTTAAGCACCAGCTTTAGTTCCAGGACTAAGCATACAGTTCATTCCACCTGGGGAGACCGTGTGTGCAGGGTAGGGCCAGCACTGTATTAAGCCTTCAAGCTTTTGCCTGTGTTGGCTTCAAGTCCATTACTAGACACATTAAGGGTGTCTGTTTAATATGACAAGGATCTGGTAAGTCTCCAAACTTAAATCATCCCATTTAGACAGGAAGGCTCCATCCTTGCCCTGCTGTATCTGGTGCTAGTACAGATTCTGATTATTTGAGTTTACCAAATCTAGGGGCTGATAGAAAATGGGCTGGCTACCAAGGACTGCCCCTCCCCCGGTCCTGTCCTGGCATAGCACTGCATTACTGATATTCCTATTTTTAGGTTCAGATTATTACCAGTCTGTGGTCAAATGAAAAATTCTTGAATGCCTTTAGAGTTTTACTTGCTTCAGTTCTGAATGACAATATACTTTATTCCTAATTAATATTTCATTGTTAGATTTCTTTGTTCAGTGTGAATATAATTATACTTATAAATTTATGTCTGAGATCAAAATAACTAATATCCTAAATTTTTTTCCAGAAGAAAGTAATTTCATTTCTCTGAACTTTGAGCATGAGTGCCTTTTTCCTAATAACAAAAACATTATGCTGTATGGCAATATCAGAATAAATGAGTATAGATGAAATGATAACTCCTGAGAAAATGCTTGCTTATTTTTTTTAACCCTTTGACAGTGGTTCAATGTATAACTAAAGGATTCTACATTAACACTGTCTAGTCACTTCACCTGGCCCAAATGGCTGTAGAAACCAGGTCCTTCCCCGTCCTGTGGGGTTACTGGAGGATTGGGTGGGATGTACTGCCCGGCTGGTTTTCACATCTCCTCTTTTGTCCTCCACAGTGGGTATCACCACCATAGGGATAAGTGTGCACTGCTCAAGTGTACCATTAGAAGACATGACTTCAGTGTACCCTTCTTCACAACTGCATGTCCTCATCTGCAGAAGAACAAGAGGATTTCTACTGTACATAGAAAGGGATCTTTGAGAGCATAATAGATCCAACTTGAAGAGAAGGCTTTAAGGAAGTGCTGTTTGGGGAATTTACTATATGTAATTTCTGTCTCAACTGCATAAAAACACACTTTTTATACTGTATACAAATTATTTTAACAGTAGAAACAGTAAAAACATTCAGAATATTCATAGTGATAAAAGGAGAGATCTAGAAATAAGGCTTTAGGCCCCAAGACATGCTTTTTCTGGGGGTGGGCGAATGGACTTTTAAGAGGTGGTGAGATGACAAATAATGAAGTTGGCTTGTCCTTCCTAATGAAGTCACACCTACCTCACTACAGTATGAGTGGGGTTGACTACACGGTGGGTTACAAGACCTGTCAGCATCAGGCTGGCGCACCACCAAACAGCCCCCTGCAGAACAGAAAATCATACATTGACAAGTAGCATCTCTTGCAATGAGAGAAACACACTGTTGTATAGACTTGTCTTTGAATCCTGAGCCACTTTGGGAACCCCTGTGGATTCTTCTGAGGGTGACTAACTGTGGACTATTTGGTTAGCCTGGACTACTTCATACAGGAACTTGAGGCCCTTCTTATTCAGAGGAGATAGCACAGTGCCCGGCACTCAGCAGGAGCTCCACAAGCACTTGTTTAGTTGCTACTTTGAACACGCTAATTACACACCAGCTATTTCTGTCCTCGTCCCCAGTTCCCCCTATTGGTCCAGTCCAACATTAAAAAGCAGACTGAATTTTTCTTTAAAGTTAAATTTCTTTCTTGGCTAGTCAGAGAAACCATTTTCATGTCCCTTGAGTCACATAATTTATGTGACTATCATATAAATGTCTTTTTTTTAATAATGCATAGTTCTTAGACAACAATCACAATTCCTACCAGTTCAGGATTTTTGTGGGTATAGGAAAGAAAACATTTGTAGCTACTAAGTGATGTATTCCCTTCTTGTTTAACTTGATATTGCAGCTCTCTGGTTTTTCTTCCTTCTCTTTCTTCTTTTTAAGTGTAATACCAAGTGTGCCTAAGTTGTTACAAGTGAAGTTTCAAGATAAGAATTGGTGTCCTAGAGAAACAATACTGGTGATATGGAGGGAACTTGAGTTTCAAACCATATTTGCTCAGTTGAATAGAATTTTAAGAAAGCAAAGTTTTTCCTTTACTTATTGAATTGATGATCCTTTGGAATTTAATCAGAGATACCTACTGTTAATTCTTTGCTTTATCTCTCAATAATATAACCTGTTCATCAAAAAATTGTGATGGGAAAGCAGTCACTGAAACGCAATTGCAGTTAAAAGGCCATTATTAAGGTTATTATTGTGAAACACACAAAGAAAAAGGAAAACAACATCTTGATTTCTAATAAGGACGACTTCATAAAATTAAAGCAATCGATCAAGATAGGTAATATACTTTACATGCTTGTCTATTTCTCATAAAGAATCCCATATCTCCTAAAAGATGGAAGAAGAATGCATATAGAGTTTATCACATATCATTTACACACTGGCCTTTTTGGTTTCAGAGTATCAGAAAGAAAGAAATACACTGGGTACTTCAATGGATTAAAAAGAAGGTGAACACATGATGTCTACAGGTAAGCCTTTTAAAACTGGACTTACCTTTCCATTGCATTGAGGAGTATCCCCAAATTTAATGGAAAAAGAACTTTTAACATGTAGAATAAACAGCAGACAAATATCACTTGCACCCATATTTGGGGAGGAAAAATAAAAACCATGAAAAGTAAGAGGACCCTCTGGGAAAACTCCAGTGTTCACTCTGAATAACTTCAAGAAGAATGTAGACCTTCATTTTCAACACTTGAGTTGAATGGACCATCTCTATAAGTGCCTTCAAATTCAGAAAACCTATGCTTCCCTTCCTAGGGTGCTTTCTCCCCTTAGGCCTCTTACAGTGGTGTGGCTGGAAGAGATCCCCCCCTCCGCCAGTAAATAATATTGTGAGAGAGCCAAGTTTCCTGGTAGGTGTCTCTTCTTTGTTTTATATGTGTCCACTGGGAATTGCTGTTATCAATGGTTTCTTGATATAGATTTCTCATGTATACAATCTTACCTTCACAAGAATATAATTTGATATCCTGTTCCAGCTTTCATAGGAAATAAGTAAATTAGGTTTAAATAAATCCAGGTAATTTAAAATCTAATATAAAAATTGATGCTTTCCAAAAAGCATATTGATCTCTGTTCCTGTTATCTTACTGTATATATTACAGCTAAATTTATAAATGGACATTACTAACAGGCACCCAAATGCACATTACTTTTTAATCTCTGCCAGAGGGCCAAAACAATGGCAGTAAGTCAGTAGGCCCCCCTGCTCTCAAAACTTTTGCTACTGGTACACTATGAAGATTCCTATAGATTAGATCTACAAAAATGTTAAAGGAGAGACATTAGATCTTTGGGTCATGTGCTTAAGGTTGAGGTTCTTGTTCTGACCTTGGTTTCTTCCTAGGAAATTTACAAGGTACATATCTGGAGCCAAGTTTCTCTCCATTTCAAAGGGTCCTTAATAACTCTGGCATTTACTGAGTTTAGGTAAGGAAACTTACAGTAATCACAGATTAGAGAAGCTCTTTGGTATATTTGGGTCAATTTCAGAAAAATTTTTCATTTGGATTTCTTGACTATATAATTTTTGAGTGGGGATAGAGTAGGTTAACTACCCAGATACTCTGGGCTTGAGATCTGCTAATACTCTTACCTATTAATTAATTAAAAAAAAAAAAACCCTGAATTATAGATTTCTGAATTCAAGCAAGATAATTCAAGATATTTAGCTTTGTATAATTACATTCCCTTGATAATATTTTTGGTCTTCATCTATATTGTTTTTGAGGTACCGAAAGATATATAGTCAACAAAATACTGATTTTTTTTTTTTTTGAGAACATGGTGAGTTATTCACATAAAATTTTTAGGGAAGGCAATTTGAGATGATAATTTATTGGAATTACAGAGTATATAGCAACATTATCTAAAATGGCTGGATGAGGGAGAATTTAATTGAAATAATAAAAAAAAAACCAATTACTGGTTACATTGGTACAGCCTAGAAACTGAATCCCAACCATGTGCTAAATAGTGAAAGAATATCTTTGTTTCCTTATTTTGTTGAACCAACTGTATGTGTGTTACAGGAAGACTTTCAAAAAACAGAGAAATTGGAAATTTACCTGTTACATTTATACCATCTGACCTTTGACACCAGACTGTTCGGGAAGAACCCTTCCAGGCACTGGCCATCCATTTATACTCATAACACTGTCCATCTGCAGGGACACAATAAACATGAACAGAAGCATTCTGCTGTCTAGAAGGACAATCATGGGGAAAGAATATTAAGAAAATATTTATAAACAATTGTAAAAGTGGTAAGTCCATCTCAAAAATTATTCAAATGTTATTGTCTTGGAATTGCCATATAGATGTTATAAAATTGTTATAAAAATTCCTGATCTATTCCTAAATCTCATTTTTTTGCCAAGGTTTTTATTCTTTTAATGGTAATACAGTATAGTTGATCCTTGAACAACATGGGGATTTGGGACATGTACCCCTATGCGGTCTAAAATCTGTGCATAACTTTTGACTCTCCCAAACCTTAACTACTAACATCCTACTATTGACTAGAAGCCTTATTGATAACACAAAATCTGAGTTAATTGTGTTATATGTTACATACTATATGCTTATAATAACATAAGCTAGAAAAAAATGTTACTAAGAAAACCATAAGGAAGGGAAAATATTTTATACTGTATTATTTTTTAAAAGATTTTATTTGTCAGAGAGAGAGAGTGCACCAGGAAGGGAGGGCATTGCAGAGGGAGAAGCTCCCTGCTGAGCAAGGAGCCCGATGCAGGACTCGATCCCAGAACCCTGGGATCATGACCTGAGCTGAAGGCAGATGTTTAACCTACTGAGCCACCCAGGAGTCCCTGTATTCTATTTATATATAAAAAAAAAACCTCTCATGTAAGTAGATCTGGGCAATTCAAACCTTCAGTTCAAGGGTCAACTGTGTTATTAAAAGTTTTAAGAAGTATCATTACTCTATGTATCATTTTGAATTATACAGATGAAATATTTTTTTAATGTAGCTATAGTACATTTATTTTAACTGCTATATAGAATTCCACTGTACTAGATGCCACCTTTTTTTTTTCTTTTAAGGTATTTCCTCTGAATGGCTTTTTAGGTTGTTTTCAACTTTTGCTGTTAGAGCAATGCCTCCGTGGTCAACCTTGTGCAACTCTCTTCATTCTCCTTTAAGGTAAATGTCTAGAAGACAAATTGCTGGGTATCACTATAGGGATGGCTGAAACTTTACTAAATCTTTATTTTTTCCTCTAAAAAGTGACAATCTACATATCTACCAGCAGCAAGTAAGGATTATCGTTGTTTGAGCCTTCACAAACATTTATAATTGCCAGATTTAAAATTTTTGGTTAGTCTAGTGGGTGTGGAAGCTCCATCATCATTTTAAATTGTAGTTCTTTATAAATGCTATTAAAGAGTAACAAATGTTTGGGGGCATTTAGATGACTTCTTATGAGTGTTGCTTCTTTATATCTTGTGGCCATTTTTTTTATCCTCCTGAAATCTATGCCTTTTCTTATTGAATTGTGGAAATTACTCTAGAACAGCAGTTCTCAAAGTAGGGTCCAGAGAACCTGGGAGACTTAGACATTCTTTCAGACTTTGTGTGTGTGTGTGTATTTCTTTTTTTTCAACTACACATCTATGTGAGTAGAGCTGGGTTTTCTTCGTATACATAAACTAAACAAAGATTACAACCGATTGAGTGTAGAAACAGAGACGAGAATCGGCTGTCTTCCTCTAAGGCAGACATTATATATTTGCAAATATGTAAAATAAGACCATGTTTATCAAAGTTATTGTTTTTATTTTGCAAAGTAGCTATTTTTCAGGAAGTATTATTGTTACATAAAATTGGTTTTTGGTTATTTAAATCTCATTTTTAGTATAAACTTTTGTGTATATATAACTCACAAAAGAAAATTTGGGGTCCTCATACAATTTTAAGAATATAAAATTAGACTAAAAAGTTATAAAACTGTTGTTCTAGATACTAATCCTTGGAAATTAATTGACTTCACAAATACCTTTTCTAAGTCTTTGGCTTCTCTGCTAACCTTGTTTAGGGTCTATTACTATGTAGAAGATTTAATTTTTCATCTTTCCCATTTTTGTGTTTGTCCTGTCATTTAGGAAATTCTTCTCTACCTTGAGTTCATAATGATATGCTCCTATCTTTCCTTCAAGTGTTTGACAGTTATGCTCTTCACCTTTTGGGTTTATAATTTATTTAGTTTATTAATTTATCAGTTTTGTATATGTGTGAGCTTACAGATAATTTTAAAAACATTGTGTAGATAACAAAGTATTTCAACATTTACCCACCATTATCCTACTGACTTTCAGTTCTGTTATGTACCTATATATGAAAATTTGTTCCTGGGATCCTTTGTTTTATTAGTCTAATTGCTTTATTGTTGACTGGTCATTTTTTTTCAATTATTAGTGCTGTAGAATAAATCTTGAATAAAGCCATGAAAGCTCTTTGACCTCCTCTTCCATTTTCTCTTCTTGAAATTCTGGACTTTAATAATTCTGGGATCTTCTTGGTCTTCAACTTCTCCATACAAATTTTAGGATCAATTTCTCAGATTACTTGAAAATCTTTTTAAATTACAGGGAATTTATAGATAAGTTAGTATAAAATTGAAATGTAATGATATTGAGGCCTACCCATGAACATGCCTATTTTACTAATGTTTTCATTGTTTATATGCTTCAATAAGATTTCATCACTACTATTCTTATATCATTTCTATTAAATATATTTCTACTTGTAGTTTTATTTTGATTCAATTTTTTTCTAATTAAATTTTGTAATTGACTCTTACTGGTAAAAGATTTTATTTTTTCAAGTATAGTTGACAAAGTATTCATTTCAGATATATAACTCAGTGTTTCAACAATTACATACATTACAAAACACTCACCATAATAAGTTTAGTTAACATCTGTCACCACACAAAGTTATTACAATTTTACTGACCACATGCCCTGTGATGTTGTTATACTTTTTATCCCTGTGACTTAGTTACACAGTAACTGGAAATTTGTACCTCTTGGTTCCCTTCATCTATTTCATCTAGCCGCAGTCTGGCAACCTAGTTAGTTTGCTGTACTTATGCTTCTGTTTCTGTGTTTGTTTTGTTCGTTCATTTTGTTTTTTAGGTTTCATATCTAAGGGAAATCATGTGGTATTTGTCTTTGTCTGACCTGTTTCACCTAGCATAATGCCCCTAGGTTCCTCCATGTTGTCTCAAATGGCAAGATCACATGCCATTTGTATGTGGCTGAGTAATACTCAGTATGGCTAAGTAATGGAATACTGTATATTCATACACAACATTTTGAGCCATTCATTGATGGACATTTAGCTTGCTTTTATATCTTGGCTATTGCAAATAATAATGTAATAAACATGGGGTGCATATATTTTTTTAAATTAGTGGGTTTTTTTTTCTTTTATTTGGGTAAATACCCAGAAGTAGAATTACTGGGTCATAAAGTAGTTTTAATTTTTTGAGGAACCTCCATACTGGTCACTACAGTGGCTACACCCATTGAGGTTCCTGCCAAGAACACATGAGGGTTCCCATTGTCCACATCCTTGCCAACACTTGTCTTTTTGAAATTAGCCATCCTGACTGGTGTGAGGAAATTCTCACTGTGGTTTTGACTTGCATTCCCCTAATGATTAGTGATGTTGAGCATCTTTTCATTTGTTTTTTGGCCATCCGTTACCTTTCTTGAAAAAATGTCTATACAGGTCCTCTGCCTGTTTTTTTAATTAGATTTTGTGTATACTGAGTTGTGTAAGTTCTTTATATAGTCCAGAGATTAACCCATTACTGGAAAAATCATTTGAAAATATCTTCTCCCATTCAGTAGGTTGCCTTATTGTTGGTTTCCTTCTCTGCATAAGCTTTTAATTTTGGTGTAGTCCCAATACTTTCATTTCTGCTTTTGTTTCTCTGGCCTGAGGAGACCTATCTAAAAAAATGTTGCTAAGGCCAATGTCAAAGAAATTACTGCCTATGTTTTCTTCTCGGAGTTTTATGGTGTCAGGTATTATATATAGGTCCTTAATCGATTTGGGGCTTATGTGTGGTGTAAGAAAGTGGTCCAGTTTTATTCTTTCACATGTAGCTATCCAGTTTTCCCAGTACCATTTATTGAAGAGACTGTCTTTTCCCTGCTGTATCTTCTTGCCTTCCTTGGGGTAGATTAATTGACCATGTAAGTGTGGGTTTGTTTCTGGGCTCTATGTTCTACTGATCTAGGGGCCTATTTTTATGCCAATTCCATACTGTTTTGATTTATAGCTTTGTAGTATAGTTTGACATCTGCAACTGTGCTACTTTCAGCTTTGTTGCTCTTTCTCAAGATTGCTTTGGCTGTTCAGTCTTTTGTGATTCCATATAAATCTTACGATTATTTGTGCTAGTTCTGTAAAAAAAAAAAACACTACTGGTACTTTGGTAGGGGTTATACTTATTCTTCCAATCCATGAGCATGATCTCTCTTTCCATTTATATATGTGGTCTCTAATTTCCCTCATCAATGCCTTATGATTTTCAGTGTACAGTCTTTTAATTCCTCAGTTAAGTTTATTTCTAGGTATTTTATTCTTTTTGGTACAATTGTAAATGGAGTTTCTTTTTCTTCTGTTTTGTTATTCGTCTATAGAAATGCAATGGGTTTCTATATATCAATTTTGTATCCTGCATCTTAACATGATTCATTTTATTCTCATCGTTTTTTGGGGGAGGGTTTTCTGTGTATAATATTACATCATCTGTAATCAGTGACAGTTTTGCTTCTTCCTTACCAACTTGGATGCTTCTCATTTCTTTTTATTATCTGATTGCTGTAGCTAGGATTTCCAGTAGTACACTGACTACAAGTGGCGAGGGAGGATAATATCCTTGTTGTACTTCTGTTCTTAATGATAAACAATACGAGCTTGTCTATGAAGCGTAATAATTTTAGCTGTGGGTTTGTCAAAGATGGCCTTTGCTATGCTGAGAACCACCTGTTGAGTTTTTATCATGAGTGATGTTATATTTTGTCAAATTCCTTTTTAGTATCTATTGAGCTATCATGCTTTTTATTTTTTTGTTTTCTGTTAAAATTTTTAAGGTGAAAATCATATAGTAATCTGGATGATTATTTCTTTGTTTTCAACTATTAAGCTTCCGGTTGTGCTTTGGCTAGAACCTTCTTTACTAGGTTGAAAAGAAGTAGCCACAGTGAGCATCCTTGCTTTGTTACTGATTGCAAGGGAATGTCTCTTATGTTTCCCCTAATATTATGATGTATGCTGTTAGTTTTGGTACATAACATTTATCAGGTAAAATGATTTCCTTCTAGTTCAAGTTGTATTGGGAAATTTTTATTGTAAATTAATTTTGCATTATATGAACACCTTTTCAACGCATATTTAAAAATTGTATGCCTTTTTTCCTGTTGCTGTGAGGACTTACATTAGTTTTTCCTAATATTTAGGCATCTTTGTACTTTCAAAATCATAATTAGGATATTAATGATTTGGTTAGATAATACTCTTTCATGATTTGACATCTATTTTCATTGGTGAATTTATTGACTGATTTTACTGACAGGGCTATGCTCCCATGGAGCTGGAGGAATTTTCCTCATCTTTTTTCCCCACACAACTTTATTTTTTAAGATTTCACATAAAAGGGAGTGGTTTGTTTCTTTAAATTTTGGTAAAACTCAAATATTTGATAAATCTGAGTTTTTAATAGTTACAGACTCCATGGTGTAGATTCTCAATTATTCTTGGTATAAATTTTAACAACATTCTAGATTACCTTGAAGTATTTATATTAGCAAAATTTATTCAAAAATATATTTTCAAACTCCATTCTATTTGTTGTAGTATTGATTTTTTCCCCCCCATTTTGCAGTATTGATTTTGCTCTCCCCCCCACGCCCTTGATTTTTGCCTTGAGGTGGTCTACTTAGTTTTGGTCAACTATTGGTTGTTGATTATCTTGTTTTCTATCTCATGAAATTTATATTTATCTGTATTAGTTATATTCTACTTTTTCTTTAAAAAAAAAATTCTCTTGAGTTTAATGCTTAGCTCATTTTAAACTTTTCTCCTTCCCATTTAGGCATTTAAGGCTTGAAGTTCTCTCCTAAGAACTTTTGTGCTCCCTCCCACAGGCCATTTGGTATGTAATGCCCTAGAAGTGTGGTTTTTAGTTTTTACTGTTGTGTGTGCATGGGGAGATTTCTTTTGTAATTTTCATTAGTGATTTCTAATTTTGTTTGTCCTTTTGGTTTGAGCAAATCTTTCCCTGGGATTTATTTCATTTTTATTACTACATTGTCCTAGGACATAAGGAATGATTTATCTGGTTGGTGAATTTGGGAAGATTCAACTGACAATGGGGATGATTCTACCTACTTCTTAAGTCATCTAGCCCATTTGGTTTTCATTCTAAGCATTGTTCCTTCACATTCTAAGCTCTCTCCTCCAACTTTTCAGTAATATTTTGGCTTCTATTTGCTATTAAATGTCAAACTCCCTAATTGTTTCAAAACATAAGCAGGAAGGAATGGGTTCTTTGTTGACCCTATAAATTCTTAGGTTTTCATTTAGACTGCCTCTGTGTTCCCAAACTATGACATTTCAATGTGCGGTGGTTCTTGGAAATGTCATGAATTGCGTGGCTCTATATGTACATGTACATACACATATAAACCTATAAACATGTATGTTCATGTGTTATGTCAAATTCTTATCAACACTTTATCAATTTCTAAGAATACAGTGAAACCTCTCACTTTGCTGTGGATTTTTCTTTGTTTCCACTGATTAAAATAAAGGATATTATTGTGACAAGGGTTATCCTGGGTGTACAAATAATGTGCTCTCAGTTATTATAGCTCATAAACACACAATTTTTTACATCTCTTATCTAATTTATGAAAGGTGGAAAGATTTTTCTTCCTATAAGTTTTTAAAATTCAGGATCATACTCCTAATTCTCAGTCTTAAGTGAGATCTTAGCAAATTACTTATTGAACAGAAAAGTCCATATCTTGTGCTTTTGTCTATCAATGTAAAAATGAATTAAAAAGATTTCATGATTTGCAGCACTCACCATTACATGATTTTGTTTCTAACATTTGCTCTGGGCACAGATGCTGATTTTCTAGTTCCTGTATAATCACAGCTCTGGAACGGACCTGTATTCCACCAAAGCCTAGGTCTTCACCATTCACACAGGTTAGCTGACACAGGCTCCACGAAGACCAGTCCTTCAGATAACAGTCACCTGCAAAACACAGGTTTGTGGTTTATACCCATACCAATAAACAGTGGCCAAGCATATAGTAATTTTACTTCTTAACCTCACTGGGAAATGTATGACTAGCATACCAAAAAAACATGATATTTGTAAGATTTAGATAACTATTTAATATTTGTGAATTTGTAAGTGTGTATCGATGTTACTTTTGGAGTGGATGTTACTGGGTATAGACTATGGATTGAAGGAGCTTGTTCCTTGTGATTCACCTCCTCTGAAGAGACAAAAATAGTTGATTTAAAACCTACCACCACTACTCTTGTCATTATTATAAAAGGGTATATCATCTTGTAGGTACTTATAATTTCAAAAGAATTTGAACTCCGAGGCTGAGAAAATTGGCATTTACACTTTTTTCTCCCCTATTGCTTACCGGAGGTGTGGAGGTGAGAAAGCCAATTGAGCAACTGGAGTAGTGGCGATAATGCTTGTAATTTTACCTGATCCACTTCTCCTTTTTTTCAATTATTTACTGAAGAATAATACACATGAAAAAATTTTGGAATTTTCACAACGTGATTACAAAAACCATGCAACCAATACTCATATCAAGCAACGGGGCATTCTCAGAATTTCAGAAACCCTTCTTGGGTTATATATGGGATTACACCATACATATCTTCAACAAATATTTCACTCCTTTTTGTTTGCAAGATCCACATGTATTTATGTAGTTCTAGTTTGATCATTCTTACTGTTGTACTTTGTTCCACCATATGAAGGTATCACGATTTAGATATCCATTCTAGTGGTGGGTAGGGGGAGAGTTGTAAACTTTTTCTATTAGGAATACCGCTGTTGTGAACATTTTAGTATGAGTCTTTGAACTGTTATGTGCATTTCTATTGGGTTCATACCTAGGAGTGGAATTGCTGGACCCTGGTGTATCATGCGTTCAACCTCTTCAACCATTTTGAGAATAGGGAAGAGTTAATGAAATATCTTTCCCATATACCCATCCATTCTTCAGGACTGACTGGTGATACTGTTCAGAGGATACAGTATTATGATAGACACAAATCCATAGGGATTCTTATCATGTTAATTATTCTAGCCATACCACATGCATAATTCATATTGCGTTACATTATGCTGCAGATGTCTAATATTAGCACAAAGTTGCCTGGAGATCTGATTAATGAAAACATGTCTTGTGTTATAATTAAGAAATCTTGGTCAGGCATGAATTATTGACTAATAGATGTATAATAGTAAAGTGGAGTGATTTTTGTAGATCTTTATAATAGTATATCATTAATATTCAATGTCCTCCTGAAGTGCAGAAAATTCTAGTAAATTTTACAAGTGTTACAAGCATGTTTAAATACTTTTGGGTCCCCCAGTTTTTAATTATGCAGGAGAAACTATTAAAATTTTAAACAGTCCTCTCAAGATAAAGGTAATATAACTCTACCTCAGTGATTGCAAACTACATGGAAATAAAGCCTACTAGTAAAAAAGGTAGGTTTTATCTCTCTGCTTATAGCACTTGAAATAGTGTATTTTACAATAGAATTCAGTACATCTTTTAGTATTGACTGTGAATTATATATTCCTCACCCCCCAAAGAATCCAGTTCAGGCTTCAGAGATTTAATAACAACAAATGAGAATGAGATATTAGCTTGTACTAAACATACTTTCATATTGTGACTGTGACCATACAAAGCATAATAATAAACTACACTATGCCTGCAAAAGACAGGGCAAGTGTATGAAATGCACATCCCTACTTTAGTATTTTGCTCTTTAAAGCTTGGTAACTCCTGTATTGCCAATTTTCAAAACCCATTATTGGAGAAAACCAGCCAAGAGAGGTACTGAGATGCATAGATCGTAATTTACCAAAAAAGAGCAGCCTCATCCTGGATTTATAATTAATTTAATTAGAATGGTGTGTTTGCCCTATTGGATATTATGGGATCTTCCTTTCCTCTGGGTCACTTAGGACAAAGTTCAGTCTCATGTTTACTTATGTTAGTATTAGATTTGCAACTCTCTCTTCCATTAGAAGGTAAACTCAATGTGGACAGGGTATATTTGTCTCCCGCTGTATCTCCAATCTTGAGCCGTGGGCAGGGCCCCAATAACACTTGATAATAATCAAATGAATGGGTGATTGGGCTGCAGGAAGTATAATGAAAACAAGTAGGAGAAACTCCACAAGGAAGTAGACACCAATGCCTGGCAAGGAGGCCAGTGTTGTGGGTATCACAATAATCGTATTAATGGCCCTGGAGAATTGGCTTTGGAAGAGATGGGCCTTACCAACTTTTAGCTTTCGTCATCTTTCATGGACTATGTGACCATGCAGCACATCGAAGCCCAAACGTTCAGTCCCTGGCTCTTCTCAGAGCCCTTACCTGCTGCCACAGGCTGAACCTCAGTCTGTTGTGAAGCAAAATGATTTTATTAAATTCAATTGTGTGTGAGATCTGGACTGAGATCGGGCCAGTTTGGGGGGCAGGAAATGGAAGAGGGGAATTGCTGGATCAGGCTGTTATTAGCAAGTGTTGGAATGTCCAAGAAACAATACTTAGCCTATGTCTAGAAAGTAAGATTTTTGAAAAGCTCTTTCTTCTCCTGAAGTAGAGGAACCCATCTGTACACACAAAACCGTTACAGTTGAATATGCACAGTGAGAGGATGCTCTCAAAGTCTAGCACTTAATTCAAAGGATTGGGTTTTTACTATGCTCTGTTTAATTTTATTCAGTTCATCTTGATAAACTATGGAAACTGCCAATATAATCACCTCAAATAATTTACCTGCTGTAGAATATGCAGATTAATGAGAATGAGTGAACAACCTCTATTGTCTGCTTTTTACAGTGTTTAGACACTAAATTCCATTAGAATAAACTTTTGAAAATATGTTCTCCAGCTTTAAAATTTTCTTTGACTACCCAAATAAAAAAGGTAAGATTTATTTTTGTCTCCAATATTTGTTTGCCAAATACTTTTTATTTTGGGGGGATCTTGTTTTGAAGTAACACATTCCTTAAAGATATTAATATTTTTCTTATATGCAAATTGAGAGAATAAAAACTTTCCACTGAGGGTGAACTATAGGCAATTTATTTCCAATCTTCTTCTTTCCTGGCCTACTAATAATAAACTGTTGCCCCCATCTTTCTCAAAGCCTTAGGCTCATGCTTGACACTGAACTTATTTTGACTTCTATCTACCCTCAAGTTCTCTGCCTCAAGCCCAAATTCCTAAATATTAGCTTCTCACTGTTTGCCAATTATCTCTAAACTATCTGATATATAATGTTTGCTTTCCACATTTTACTGCATGAACCCCTTGTGTCTAACTTTGATTTGAACTGGAATAATTTCTTTCAATATTTTCTTCCATAATATTTTTTTCTCACTCTTGATGATGTAGCTGGGGATAGCACTTGAGGTTCATGACCATTTGCCATCACACTTTGCATATATTCCATTGTCTTTTGGCTTTCATTGTAACTAAGAAGAATTCTTTTATAATTTTAAATGATTACCTTCAGTTGCAGGTAATCTGGTTTTTTTCTTGATGCTTTACTAGTTATTTCTCTACATTTTATGTTTTACCTACAATATACCAATGTGCGAATTTATTATTGACTCTATTCAGGACCTAGAGTAAGCTTTTGTTACAAGGACTTAATCTTTCTTTAGCCATTATGTGTTTAGATCCTGCTTCTCTTTCTCCTGGAAGTCCTAAATAGGTGGAAGTTCTGTCATACTTGTCCTGTCAAGCATGAGCCTAAGGCCTTAACTGCCATTCCCTGCAGGTGTTAAAACTCCAGGTGGGTGGGTGTCAGCAGAGGCCACATGGGAGACCCAGACTTCACCCTTCACTGGCAGTAACAAGTCAGTACCCCCCTTCACCCACACTACAGTATCCAGTTATTGGCGCAGATACTACTGAATGAGAAGAACTAGCTCTCATGACTTGAGTATCTATACAACTTAGACTATACCCCTTTCTCAACCCTGGTGCTAACAGGAAATGACCAAACTATGAATTCTGTTTTGGTATTGTTACCTGGGCAAGGCTGGGTGCAGGTCTCCTCGAGAACCATTTTTTTATTACCATCTATGATGGGTTCAATGTCAGTACAGAATTCTTCATCCACCACTTTGCTGAAATCATCAGCTGATCCATCACTCACTACACAAGAAATGTTCCTTGTTCTGGTCCCTTCGCCACACTGGGCATCCTGAAATGCAGGAAGAAATAACTAATTAGGAAAAGAAAAATAATTCATTAGCAAGCTCATCACTTACAGTCATCTCTACACCACTGATTTTGATTTATGAGCAGTTAAAGAAGCATTTGTCACCCTAGGGAGGAAGTCCTATAGGACACTAGCTATAAAGTAGACAATGAACAATCTATTTGTTTTCTAGCCAAAGACAGGCAAATAAATTTTCATTAAAATGAATCAGTCTCCAAATGATTTAAAAAACACAGGACAGGGACTGCTTATTATCAAAACTAATTAAACAGTTACAAAATGGCAAAGCATCTAAATTCTTCAGGAGGAAACATGCTGTCAGCTCTGAAAAATACTTCTGAAAACAAGTCTCTGCGGATAAAGGACACACATTTCCATACAACTTCTTGAGATCTGATTACCTGCACTTGGCATAGAGACCACTGGCCATACTGCCACTGGTAACAGGGTTTCACTGGGCAAGGCTTGGACTGTTCCATCAGGGCAGGGCATGGCCGCCCATCACCCTGAAAGGGCTGGGTCACTGTGCGTCTTCGGACCATTTTTCCTTAAAGAGATACAAAGGGATGCAACTCTAGTGACATATTTGTGCAAGCATGTATCTTGAGAGACGGCATCACAGACATTTCTGCTGAGGAGACCTGAGGAATGAGTAAGGCTCAGACGTTTTGAAGAGAAAGACACTGTCTGAACCTTTCTGAAGATTATCTGGTAAGACTTAAAGCAAGAAGGATATTTTATTTCCTTTTCCTTTTTTTTTCTTTTAAGATTTTATTTATTTATTTGACAGAGAGAGATCACAAATAGGCAGAGAGGCAGACAGAGAGAGAGAGAGGGAAGCAGGTCTCCTGCTGAGCAGAGAGCCCAATGCGGGACTTGATCCCAGGACCCTGAGATCATGACCCGAGCTGAAGGCAGCGGCATAACCCACTGAGCCACCCAGGTGCCCTATTTCCTTTTCCTTTACCTTGGGTCTAATGTTAATGAAGGTACAAACCTGTGAGGCCACATGTTTGAGAACATTCTGACCAAGGAGACCAGTCGGAAAGCTGACAGTTGACTGGGCATTCCACCATGCAGGATGTGTTCATCGGCCAGTTCTTCTCCAGGCCAAGCTGCAAGGAGAGAGGCAGATCTGTTTGTACTGACCTGGAAGCATGGCTCAGTGCTTAGAAGGAGGGAGTAGTGGAGAGGAGAGGACGAAAAAGCAAGATGTATAACAGAATAAAAAGGGACCTTGGAGGTCAAACACGCACACTTAAAAATAGAAAGTGGCTCAATCCAGAAGAGTGGGAGCAAAGGGCACAGGATGAGTGCTGGAGCCCATTTACTCAATGCTGTTGAACTGTTTAAATAAGTCATGAAAAAAAAGTAGCTTTAGTCTCCAAATTGGCTTAACTTCCCTAAACAAGGAATGAAGAGGTGCTCAATTCCTTTCCATTAGTTAAAAACCAAGAATATCACCAATATGTAGATCTATAGTGGTATCTCTGGGATATAACTTATTTTTTCACGTGCATGTTAACTGAAAAGCAAAAGGTTTGAAAGACAAATCACCATTCGAAACTAGTAACACACTGAAATAATACAAAATATTAGTTAAGTACACTATCTCTTTCAAAAGGAAATATTGTTCAATAGAATTTTTTGATTATGACTATTTCATAAACATTTTTTACAAAGATTTTATTTTCTAAAACTGATCTCAGCAGCTAACTGTAGGATAATTCCCTTATTCTGGTTAGCCTCTCATCAGATACTAATATTGTGACGTTCTGTTGGCATTGAGTTCTTTACTTAAGAATTCTACTTTTAAAATCGGAGATTTCAAACTCATTGTCTGTGTACACAAACAGTTAAAAATTCCAAGGTTCAAAGTAGCATGAAAATAGAAATATTTAAGAGCTTGTTAGGAGAGTACAATTTTGGGGGCGGGAGTAATCCTTGGGAATTTGCAAGATCTTGTTTCATTTCTGTATGGAAAGGAAGTTCAAGTGTCTAATGTACATAACAAAAGCTGGCAAAAGAAAATTTTTCTGAAATCTTGTGTTTTGGCCCAAGTATAGCTCGTGGCTCTAGGTTATCCGCTGAGAGAAGATCAGGTCAGTGACTGCAGGCACTCCCATTATATTCTCCACCAGTAATACTTGACAAAGCTGAGCATTTGGTAAAAAAGTTTTTTTACCATATCCATTGAAGTCTCAGAAAGTCACTTAAAGTCATGGGAGGTCGAAGAAAGGACACTTACAGTGATTATATGCTAAAAACGATGTGTAACATTTAAGGTAGACCATTGTTTTCTGGAGAGAAGATCTGAATCACAGAATTCAACTATTACTGACTCATTTCACTACAGAATTGAAAAGAATGTCTATGTATAGATGCCCTGGGCATCCAGTAGTAAGACATTTTAATCCTCTGCTACTTTTTTTTTCTTACATTTATTGTGTTCTTTTTTTTCCCTCTCTCTCTTACTCTCTCATCTGTCTAAACCTATGTGTCTAAGTAAATGGAATCTGTTCAGGGATCAAAGAATAGGAAAGGAGAAACCAATTACTAGATATTGGGTGAATAAAGAAAACATCAAAGAAAAAATGCTATATAAATGCTAGATGGGTTTAACCCAAATTGTCCTCTTTGTTGGGTAGGAATGGCATTTTTTTTTTCTTTTTGGCTGTTAGGGACACAGCAAGAGTTAGCTACTGCTGTCGTGCTGAATGCAGGGTTTACACATGTATTAGTAGGTAGGCAATCAATCCATTGTTAAAAAAGATAGCCAGCTTTTCTCAGGGCTATTATGTAATACTACTGCATCCATGGGGATGGATAAAATGGGATAGAAGTTGTTTATTCCAATTCCTGCAGAGCGAGCACTATTCTCCCTAAAGACAGTGTTTACTAGAATGTTATAATTTCGATCCCTAATTGTCACCACAGCATTTGAACATTATAATATTAGTGCATAAGAATAAGTTTATCTAGACTCCTGGATAATTGAAATTAGTTATTTCTCAGGGTTTACTCACATTTCACTAAAGACATAAAGGAGTCTGGGTATCCCTCTGTCCTATAGTCATGTTTTTTAATTGGTTTTGTAGGATTTGGGTTTAGCTTTCACAAAGCTCTCAGCTATTCATAGTAGATTTCATTCTGATCCAGGATGACATTTATATGTACATTTGCAAAAAAGGAGATACATTAATTAACTAGAAGTAGATCAAAGCTCTCCAGCCAATATATGACTATAATAATGTTCATTAATACTAATGTTATTTTTATAATGATTACATTACTTTGATGTTACTAGTTTCAAAACCAAATTAATTCAGGTATAAAATGTATAATTAAAGTGTGAATACACTAAATTATGTTATAAGATGGTGGTGAGTGGAATTTATTAAGTAAACAACTTGTTTTCAGCACACTCAGGAACTCTGTTCCCATGGACAGATATAACGAAGTTGTTAGGGCCACATGACAAAGATATCAAATGGATTAAGATATTTCCATCTCGAGTTTTTTCAGGAGCTGGAACAATTTACTATGGGCTTATATAACCCCTGGGATGTTTAGATAGAAGTTATGGTCACCATGTCTATTGAACCCTAATGGAGTCATAAGCTCCTCTCTCTCTGTTCAAGATCTATTGAAGCTCCTGCTTATCTTGGTTCATGTTTAACCCAGTGGGGCTTACATGCAGGGGAAGTTAAAACCTGTCAGGAACATGAGTACACATTTGGTATAGGAGTCAGACAAAAATCATTACATGAAGTGTTGTTTCATGAAAGCTAAGAAAGACCAACAACTACGTCTCCCCACATTTCATAAGGTCATACTTAGAAATGACGACATCACTTTTATAAATAGGGAAATTAATAGCTGCAATCTCTGTACCTCAGAGTTACAATGGCAGACTTCACTCCTTTGTTTGAATTTCAAGCTCGCATCCAGACCTGCGTACTTAGACTCTCACAGCTGGATATTAGATCCTAATATCAAAATCTGCTACCAAACTACATGCGATCAATGTTGAGCAACAGAGAGAATAAATGATGGCTCTTGGCAGGTGTCCCAGGCAACACAAAATTCACATGAAATTACAAAAGATGATGAGTAGTCTGATTAAGATTTATTGCCTTTATTCACCTTGATTACTTATTGTTCCCCAAGCATTTCTTTCAAAATAGGCTAATTAGCATACCTTTGGGCTCCAAGCAGAACAAAATACAGGAAATTATGTGTAGAAATCAGTACTTGGACAGTGTTTCTTTTCAAGAGGGTGCTTAGCGGCCTCTGAATAGTGCAGAGAAACGTCTGCTGGTAATGAGCTGCACTGAGCACAGGTCACTTGGCTCAGCATGAATCGAAATTATTAGGGAAGAATTTACTCACAGAGATATAACACAGTATCCCCTCACCTCTTCACAATATTTCAGGTCAACCGACTTGCCATCACTTCGAACACAATCCAACATCCTTGTTTTAATGCCATTTCCACAAACTGCCTTCTCACTCAGCTGACACGTACTCCAGTCTGAAAGGAAGGGAGCCCATCAGAACAGAAGGCTACGTAGGAAACAGATTTCAAATGAAACTCTGATGACCTGAATCCCATATTTAATTCACAACTGCTTCCTAAGCCCCACAATCAATCATCCCACATGCAGAGCATATGGGTCCCGGCTTTGAACATATCAAGAGTCAAATGGAATTGCTGGGGTTGCACAAAGCTACAGGGATTATTCTTGAAGGCAGATGTCTACTTGACAATCTTTGACAGCTAGCCGTTTGGTGACATTGTGAAACTGGCTTTGGCCTGCAGATCAAATGTCACTTAAAAACTTTTTTCCCTAATAAAAGGAGAAATTTAAAACTCAACATTAGTTTTATTTTAGCAAAATCATCATAATTTTAATGGGTGCCACTTTAACTGTGTTGCTTTAGTCAAATAAAATACCATTTCGCTTACTGTCCATTCTTAGAATATTTTAAAATATACACTTATTTCAAAATCACTTTTGGCCAGATCTCTTTAGTACTTTTATTTCATGTCTTTGCAAAATGATTTTTTCATCTTTCCAGAGTAGCATAGCATATCCTGGAGAACTGTGACTTCTTTATATCATCAAAGGAAACTGAAGAGAAAAACCTAAGGAAGCAAAAAGCCAATCTGACTGCTGTGTGTTATTGTACGAGGTTTGGGGTTTATTTTAGTGTGAGAATTACTCGGGAAGAATTCCCAGACAAGCTTCAGTATTGCCATGCATCATGTAAACCAACACATTCTCTTCTTTCCTAGACTATCTGCCTTGATGGTATGGAAGGGTTATGGGAAAAAAGGGAATTCCTAATAAACCTTTTTTTTCTGAATGAACAACCCATGTATCCTTTTTCATCTGTACCTTTGATAATACAGAAATATTAGTATCTTCATCATATACTTTTTGGTAGCTCAAGATTGCCGACATTTTTACATCAGACTAATTGTGCTTATAAACTGTCCCCACACAAAGAATTGTCCCAGGATGTTATAGCAATTAAACATCTCCTGAAGAGGATGTTTACCTTTCAATAAACCTGATACTTATGGGAAAGATGTATCTTTTACTTGCACCTTCCCAAAGTGGGAGGATGTCTTGAACGGGATCACTTAGACTCTTCACAATCTGCCTTAATCCCCTCATCTCTTCACAATATTTCTCTTCACAATATTTGCAGACATCCTCCACATCTTGATGCTTATTAAAAAGAGATAACTATTTCTGTCTTTAAATAATTATCTCTGCGAAAGTAAGCAGCATGTCCTAGAGGGCCACAGATGGGGATGAACAGTACTTACGGGGTTGCTGCTGGGCTGGAAGACGTGCGATCTGGCTTACATCTCGGGGATGAGGAGACTATGCACGTACCTGTTACATTATAATCGTAGTGGAAGCAGTTTTTGTTCAGGTTACAAGGTTCCTTCTCAACAGCATTAGGGCAGGCTCTTCCTTCATCAGCAGGTTGTCTGATGGGATCAGCTGACCTTTGCCGGAAACTGCTTTGACTGCAAGGCTGACAAAGAAGAAAGCAGCTCCTCAGAAAGGTGAATGAATACTCAGCCACATGGGGACTAATATATTAGGGAGAGCACCGGAGCAGGAGGGAGACTGTTGGGGCCGCTGGCTAACTTGAACAATCCCATTACACCTAGGTTTCATCATCTATGAAATCAAGGTGTTAGATGAGTTTCCAGTGTCCCATCCAGCTATAAGAGGCTCAAGGGTCTGTGTGTCAGACACTCAGCTACAACCACACACACGTGATCCTATTAATTATTGCACATCACTACTATAGAATCCATAATCCATCAATCTATCCAGTACAGTTTCTTGGACCTGAAAAACCATTTTAAGGGTGACTTTAAATAACGAGCTTTTAGTGACCTCCTTGATTTTCCTAACGGGCACACACACATGCACAGGAACACAACTCAGCAGGTAAGGAAGACGAGCCTGCCATTTGCTACTGGCACCGTCTTGTTCTGAAAACATCTGGTTTTTAAGAACAGAAACTTCAAATCGGATGCTATAGAGTTAGAACAGAAACTCATTTGCACAGCCTTGTCCAACAGCTGACTCTTTGTTGGTCTTTAACTTGTATCCAAGTCAACTGGCATCTCTGTTCTGCTCCGCTCAGTCAGCTGGCTGCCAGTCGCACATTTAATCATGTTAACACGGAGACAGAAAATTAACTTCGCCTTGAAAACATGCATCATAAATTCTTTGAAACTGTCTTATTTCGTATTTCAGCATATTAAGTCCACATTAGATGTATTCTTCCCGTGCTTTTTGATGCCATTTTGAAATGAGCAGCTTTACAAAGGTGCCCGGGCCAAGGCAAATTTCCTAAATCCTAAACAGCCAGTTCTGTTTCAAACAAGCCTTCCCAGGGTCCCGCAGAAGAGCGCCTACGGGCTGTTGAAATCTAGAAGCTCTGTGTGATTTGAAACTCTCAGCTGGCTTTGCAGCCCCACAGAGACACAGAGTCCGTGAGTGCAAAGAGATTCACTGACACACAGCTTTCTTCTTTCGATTCCCTTTTTTGCCAGCCTCCTTTGGGTTTTAGTGTCAATACTCTGGCTGCAGTATACCCACTGTGTGGAAGATGATTCCTTCAATTTAAATAAAACGGACTGGGCAAAAAGCAAGGGATGACAAGAACCCGACACCATTAAAGTACCTTTACCAGAGCTTCCTCCTTTTTTCCCTTTACCTGGAGGGACTCATTATCACCAGTGCAGTTTTTAACATGCTGTGTATTTATAGGCCAATCTGAAGGCGTTTTGTGCGGGCCCAGGAGGAGGATGGAGGAACACAGAACTTGCAAGAGGTTGAGCTGTTCTCATGTGGGTCAAAACACTGCTGACTATAAATGGCCTAGTCACAGAATGAGGTAGCCAAGAAAACACCCTTGCCATGATAACTAATTTGGTAACTAATTTAGTAATTACTATTTTCTTTTTTTTTTTAGTAATTACTATTTTCTTAACAATAGCTTTAAAGCTTTAGTGGTAAGGAATTAAGTAAACGCTACTTATAAACGTTAATCATCTCACCAAAGTGCATCGGGTCCAGGGGCCCCATTCAGATATCACACAATCCTCGGGACATGGCAATTTGCACTCTCTAGAGCCCAGGGGCATCTCTTCTGGATCACAGAGGTAATCTTCTACATGGTCAGAAGGGCCATCTGCTGTGTTCTGCATGCATCTAGAAGAAAACACACTATTCAGTGAAGGAACCAGGACACTTAGAACAAGGGCTGACCCATTCGATAGATGGTTCTTCCTAAGGCATCATTATGGGGTTGGGAGGTGGGAAGGTTTGCATTTAATAACAAAAATTCTCCAAACATGAAGACATAAAAGGATCTCTACCTCCCACAAATACTTGCAGAGTTTCAGCATGACATAAAATGTACCCTTGCTTGTATCATCATAATCTTTTAAAATTATAGCCCCTGTGTGGATTAAAAACTCTGTATGTCTTTCTCTGAAAGAAGAGAGTCTTTTACCCTCATAGATGATGCAGCAACTAATGAGGAATGGTCCAGAGAGATTCATGGAGGGGCTACTTCTGGGAATTTTGGAATCTAATGCACTTTTTTTTTCTTCGGAAGGAAATGGCGGATTCCAGAAAAGATAGATTCATACAGGAGGGAGGATGAGACACACTGAACTTTTCTGGTGAGAGGTTTCATTAAGAATTTTCAAAAGTAACTGATGGCATTTACCAAGTTATCTTGTCATTTTAAAAGTAATTTTAGCCTCCTATATGCTGATAACTTTAAAAGAAAGCCAGAAGTGAAAACATACTTATATTAGTAATAATAGCACAAATTCTCTAAATGTAGTTGTTTGAATCATCCTCTATCTTGACCTTTTTTATTGTTAGTTTTCTTTTTAACAGAACAAATTCAAACATTTTATTATGTTTCATTCTTTTGTAAGCAGTCATGGACAGCTCGTTTACTCATCTCTTGGGGGTCTAATTAACGTGGCTAGTACCAGACTTCACTCTTAGCGTAGTTAATAATGTCTCCAGGCACTTTCCTAGTGGAGGAGGAAAACTTTATCCCTCATCTATAACTCAGAGAAGGTCAACCAAAGTAATGGTTGGGGAAGAGCGTGCATTGTTGGAGCTAAAAAGGCAGGCTTGTGTTCCTGAGCCTCTCAAACTCATGGCACTGTTTTAAACTGTCGGTTAAATTACATTATCAATTATACCTGGAATCTCACCTTTCCCAGGGATTTACAGTCAGTGGGGACACTACATTTTCACAAATCAACTCTGCAGAAATTCCTTTCTATACGGTGCTCCCCAATTTAAGAGGAATGTCGTTTTCCTGTGGGATGCATTTAATGACTGGAAAACTGTGCTGCTGGTCATGTCTTAATTGGGTTTGGAGTCTGAAAAAATACGTCTATGAATACTCGCCTCTGCATTTTGTTGTGTGTGGTGTGAACTGGATAAAAACAGAAAAGAGCAACCACAAGAATATGCACAGGGAGGTATTTGTTTGATTTCATCACTGAAGAAAAAATTGTAAATTTCTTTGGGAGAATTTTAGTCTCTCAGGAAAGAGTTCTGTCTTCGATGGCATTTTTAAAATATTGTGTTTAATACACACCACCAGGCTAAGGAGGGCATGTATTGCATGGAGCACTGGGTGTGGTACATAAACAATGACTCCTGGAGCACTGAAAAAATAAAATAAAATAAATAAAAATATTGTGTTGACAGCAGCTTTGAGAGGACATGGAGCAGCTTTGAGACAACATGGAGCAGAGTTTAAACCCAACTGAAAAGTTAGGTTTGCTGCTAAGAAAAGATTATATTCATGGTAGGAACTGACACAGTGTACAAGGATTAACTTGCAAAATTACCTATTGATCCGGAGTTAAAGACAGATGTTCAATACTCTATTAAGCATTATGTACATAAAGCTACATTTTCACAGGCTTTTCTCCTTTCATTTTTTTTACTATAGAGCTAATTTATTCACTTTAGGAAAATCAGAAGAAACAAAAAAAAATCATATGATTCTACCACTGAGAGAAAAACACTCTTTACAAATGATTCTATATAAGCATATATATCATTTCATTAAATAGAGCAAATTTATTGACTATTTGTACCCTTAAGAAATCAATGATACATTATGAATATCTCTTCATATCATTAACTATTTTTCTAAGATATAATTTTTTTTTAAGATTTATTTATTTGAGGGGGGAGGGGCCGAGGGTGAGAGAACCCAAGCCAACTCTTCACTCAGCACAGAGCCCACATGGGGCTTGATCTCGGGAGCCCGAGGCCCGACACCAAGACTCAGATGCTTAACCAACTGCACCACCCGGGGCGCTCCAATGAAGATATCATTTTTAATGACTGTATTTGAATGACATCATTTCAATGTGCCACAACTGCTAAAAATGCCCTTATTGTTGATACTCAGATTATTTATATTTATTTTATTTGGCATTAATCAGTTTTTAAAATCACTCCAGAATACAGAATAAATATTTGGATCAAGTTTTAAGCACAAGGGAAGGCACTTTAAGTTCATTTGCTTTCTTCAAATTCTTGGCCTTTTTCCTTTCCATAGGACAAGGAATTATGCTGAGAGAAAACTGCACTGTGTTAGAAATACATAGTGCAGAACCAAGTTGGAGGCAAAGGGTGGGACCAGAGGCCAGCCGCAGGTATGACAATAAGGGGGTACACTCTCTGCAGAGAATTCAAAAGCAACAATAAAAGTAACCAAATATGTTGTTTTTTATTGTCTCTTTTTTATTACCATCAGGCGCTAGAAATTCTTAAAAAAAAAAAAAAAAAAAAAGTCTGTGAAAAATATCCCTTCCCCTCAGAGAAAATCACTTCTGCCACCAGCCTCTGAGGTACATACCATCCTAAAAGAGAAAGAACGATTTTGGATAAATTGGTACTGCCCTCTCATAGACCCATCTATCCTGAAATGCCACCCAATGCTTGCATATAAGCAGGACATTCTGACCTTAATTCGCAGAGGATAAGGTTAGAGAGGCTTACTACTCAATCAGTAACAAATAGGAACATTATTACATGATCAGAGATCACAATCGATACTGACCTTCTCTTTTCTCTGTTGACATTAAAGATGTTTACTGAAAAAATAAATTGATCTCCAAAGTTACTTTGCTTTAGATGTACCTGGAAATGTTGAGAGTACTTATAAAGCAAGAAACAGCAACATCTACAAAGATCATTGAAGGGAAAGCTGAAAGAATAGTTCTTTATTATAATTTTTCTTACAAAAAGCCAACTTGATCAAAACCTTTTAATAGGGAAAGTATTTTTAAATTTGAAGGAGAAATTTTAAATTTGGAAAGGAATGGTGGAAAATGGAATCTCTGTCTTTTGTTTATGTTTCCCTATCCAACTTATTACCTCCTGACCCCTTATCCACCTTTATTAAGTTCCTCAGAAAAATAGCTTGAGAGTTCAGAGGGCTTGTGAAAAAAGAAATAGAGATTATCTGTATTGGAAACAAAGTTATACAGTGTGCCAAAGTTTTATAATACAAATGTTAATTCGCCCTATTTTTCTATTGAGAAATATAAACCTTAAATTCATGAAAAGTTAGGTCAGTGCTTGCCCACAGCATGAATTGTTGAGTTCTGGATGTTTTGACACCTGTCTTTACTGTGTGTCACTCAGCAGGGTTAGAAGAAACTGGTATAAAGAGTGACAAATCTGTCACTTTACTAGATGGGTGTTCCTGGTAAATTACTTAGTACTTCTGAATCCACTCTATAAAGTAGAGATAATAAAACTCATACACTTGTTCCGTAGAGTTCCAGAACCCTTAAGAGTCATCTGTAGATACTATAGGGAAAATTTAATGAGTATCCAAACTGTATTAGGTGTTAGGGAATTTCTGTGACTATGACAGGGTTTTGGTTTGGAGAAGGTTCTAGAATTTAATAAGAATGACAGACAGTAAATGGATCTTTCCAGAAACAGTGAGGGGTATATGGGGTACTAAGAGAAACACTGCTCAACAGAACTTTCTGTGATGTGGAGAGGGCCTATACCTCTGCTGTCTGATAGAATTATCCACTTGTGGCTACGGCATAAGCACTTGAAATATGTCTCGTGTGGCTGAGGAAATGTATTTTTAATTTAATTTAACTTTAATTAGTTTAAATTTAAAATGAAATAGCCCCACGTGGCTAGTGGTTACCCTACGGGTCGGTGCGCCCACAGAACAAATGAGCAGCACTAGGTATTAGGAAGGGCTTCCTGGAGGAGAAGAGAGTAGTCAAAAGTTAGCCAGTTTGAGGAAACCAAGCAGTAAGAGTTTAGAACAGTTTACCACTAAAAAGCAGCCAGAAATATTTTTGGCCTTTAAGAACAAATTCCCCGGGGTTGGAAAAACCTGCATTAGCTCAGCTTGCATTCAATATGCGGATCTTTCTACTCAGGGGCACCTTGAAGTGAGGCTTCCTGTCAGAAGCACCCCCCCTCTCGCCACCCCCGTGACAACCTGCTGCTTGAAGCAGGTCCCCTTGGAGTATTCCATGAGGGCATATTCCCTAGAAATAAAACTGAAGACAGTTTTAGGCAGGAGACTCAGGAGGAGTGAGGGCCTTACCTCACTTTCCGGGTTTGCACGCCCTCTCCACAGTTATCTCGCATGTTGACAAAGGTCACTTTGCAGATGCTCCACGGCTCTGAGACCCATATGTACTGGCTGCAGTCACTGTGGCAAGGGACCACCTCATACACCTGAAACACACACAGTTCTCAGGGATTTCTCCTCAGGGAACCCGATGAGCGCGAGTGGGAGCCCTTCATACCACAACACACACCGTATTCTTGTTCGGCTATCTTCACTCCTCTCCTTTATGGCTCACTATTCTAAGAGAGGAATATAGAAAACCTCTTGAGAGTTCTAGCTGTAATGGGCAGGACCAGCTGTGCTGTATTCTCTCGATTCTTGATCCTATGTGACATTACAGTTGCGCATGTGACCTGAAAAAGTGCCCTGGACACATCGCACACTGTCCCACACTGCCCCTCACCACACAGCACTGTAATTTCATGGACCATCTGTCTTGTTTGCAGTGTTGTGGGTCTTCAATACTTAGGCCACAGTGCTCCAATGTAAGGCATTCTATAGAGATTTGTTGAATAGGTGAATGAATGAATAAATGAATTAGAGAATTAAGTAAGCATATAAAAGTAGCTGTTTTGAAAGAAATACAATTTGACTTGTTTTCCAAACGAATGTATATCATGTAAGAATTTATATATTTTTTGCATTCTGTATGTGAAACTGAACTAAATAATAAATAAGAAGAAATAAATCCATTTTAAAACTAACCCTTAAGCATTTAGGGCTTGGAAGCAAGGTCTGAAATTGGCTTTATATTACACAGTCATAGCCCAAAGCAGGGAGGATCACATGACACAAAGCCAACTGTCTTCCTCCGGTGTCCACAAAGGCAGACACAGTTAGGCAGGGGTGTTTGGTTTCAGGATTTTTAGAACAATGAACCAATTATGCCTTTTTCTCAATGAGAAGAATGACTAAGCCAAGGAAATAAATAAACCATAATCCAATGCTCACAGCTGACTCAACCATTAAAGAAATGTGTTCTAAAATAATTTTAAAATCTATGGTAATTTGACTCTATTTTCTACACACACACACACACACACACACACACACACACACATATATGGATATTTTGTGTTAACTATCTAATTCCAGAAAATATAGATATAAATAGTCCTTTGGAGCTATTCTTCTATGCAAATTTTAGTGAATAAAGTTGACCTATTCCGAGTAATAAAGAATATGCACCGTTGGAATAAGAATCTATCATTATTGTTATCAATGATCACCTCCACATTGGGTACTGCATTAAAACAGTACAAAGTACTACCAAGTAAAACATTACCCTACCACTTGTGGGGAAGGGAAAAATTGAAGGAGAAATGGCATTTCCCCTAATCTTTCAATGGCTTTCATTTTAATCTCCTACACTGGACTGAATACAAATCAGTTCAGAGCAACTTCCTGCCACCCACCTTCAGCCCACCTGCACCTTTACCTCTCCCTCTGAGAAGCATGACAGCATTAACAAGAGATGTCACTGCCTTTTCAAGGCTGGTGAAGTGAAGCTTGTTCTCCCCACCCCTGCATCTCAGCCCTGATATTAAAGTGAGAAAACACAGGTAGCGTGCTGGGGCAGGGGCGGGGGGTGGGGTGGAGAGGGAACAGCTGCAGAACAAAAATTTTATGGAAAATGTGGTATTTTTCTCCCTGTAAAAGATAAAAGACCATAGCAGGAAAAGAAATACATTCTCTGACATCAGGAGTAAAAAGAAAACAAGCAGTACAGTATTCTGCCACGAACTGGGAGGTTTAGAAGTTCTTACCTGTGCCTGGAGTAGTGTTCAACAGGAGTGAAGAAAAGGGAGAGGAAAAAGATAAGGAAAAATGTCAGTATACTGAATGAAAAAATTCATGTTCTAAGTTAAAATATTATTTTATCCACACATAAGAGCCTACTTTTCTTTTTTTTGTTAAATTACTAGAGTATCTTTAGTAAGCCTTTGGAGAGAAAAAACAAGTCATTATTCTTTAAAGTTAAGATACACAAATGAGTATTGTAAACAACACAGTCAAGGAAAAGATTAGATGGGCAGGATGAAGAAATCTTAAAAAACTGAGTAGACCTCAAAATACATGTCATGGGGGATTGATAAATGACTGCAACTATTTTGTGATCAAGCTGTGATTGAAATCTATCCATAGATTGATTGATTAATCTATTGATTTTAATTTAATTAATCTATTTGATTTTAATCCATCCATCCACCCATCTACATTTCTTGGGAAATGAGAATTTGCTTCCTCAATTAGAAAATGGTACTTAAAAGACCAATTATTTCCAAGTCAATGGGCCAGTAATTATTTTATTGAGGACTGTATAATTGTGGTAAAAGAAATCCTTGTGATTTACAATTTTCAAAGTTAACAGAAGCCTTTGCATATTCTTTCTTAATGTTTTACTAATAAGGTCTTAGAAATTTCTATTTTTAGATGTAGAATATTTGTATTCAGATAGTCAGGAATCTATTATTTCTTGTTTTAGCTTTAATTTTTAGTTGTTAATGCCTTAATATCCCACCAGTAAGATGATTAACAAGTACCTAAATGTCCCCATCAAACTCTGCATTAAATTTTATCAGAGTTGAGAGTGACAGAGAAATGACTTAGGTAAAAGACTTTTCATAGTAAAGACAACTTGTCAGAAGGTCCCAAACCTTTGAAAATTCACTAGTAAAAAAAAAAAAATGCTGAGGCAAACACAGCTTATTTTATTTGAAAGACTGGCCATAAACACACACACCCCCCCTATACATTCATGGAGAATTTCTCTTTATTAGGACCATGGATCAGAAGTTATTATGATTTAAATTTATGGATGAAAATTTAAGATTTCACAACTTGTAGAAAAATATTTCTTTGCATTATAAACCTTGCATTTCAGTTATTGTGTTTCATTAGCGTTATGTTAACTGAATTTTCTCTGCAAATATTCACTCTGGCAGGAAAACCCATTCGCCAGTAGATGGCAGCAGTGCAGCGTATTAATCACCGATGGTAGCATGTAAGGGCACCTTCAGCAACTTCTCAGGGAAAACAATCAAGATTTTTTCAGAGTAGTACTTCCTATGACGCTTAATTCTCCACCTTCTTTGTCCTTAATTTCTTTATTCAAAATGTATTTTTATTTTCTCTAGACTGTACCTTTATTTTTCTTTACTATTTTTGAAGCTTTAACTGGCTTTCTCATGTGATTCATGAATTGGGTGGCATCCCATTTAGCAGGGAGATTAGGAGCACTCTAGAGTGTATCTTTATTATCATTAACAATTTAAGTTAATTTGGGAAGTAAAGTATGTGTACTGGTAAGCAGTTTGGAGAGTAAGTGATTGGACATTAAAATTAATCTATGTACGCATGAAACCTACCTGCATATTTAAGGTTGGTTCATATGTATGATTTGGTTCATTTGTAACAATATAAATACACTTCTTAACATCTACACATACTATATTAAATTTATTCTTTGTTAATTCACATGTAGGTCAAACATGATAATAATTGCCTACATCTTCTATTACATTTGAATTAGTCATGATTCCCTCTATTAGTCTTTTTATTTTATATCTCCAATAGAACACAAGGAACAACTATTAATGAAGTGAGCATACAAAAATCAAAGAAGGTTCCAAATAAAATTTAAAAGGTCAAAGACTATAACATGGTTAAACTGATTCTGAAGTAATCTTTATATTTTTTTCTTTTAAAATTTTACATCAAACACATTTAAATGAACAGTCAACACATATTTCTTAGTTTTATTTTTTGATTTTTTTAGAGAGGGAGGAAGAGAGAGAGAGAGAGAGAAAGAATATGAAGGGAGAGAGAGAGAAAGAGAATCTTAATCGGTCTCGAAACCCACGCAAACCTGTCGATGGGCTAGAACTCACAACCCTGAGATCATGACCTGAGCTGATATCAAGACACTCAAACAACTGAGTCACCCAGGAGACCCTCCACAACCTTTTTTTAGAGATGGAGAGGGAGAAAGAGAGAGAGAAAGAGAGAGAGAGAGAAAGATTTCCTAGTTTTAAATAGTTGGTACTTGAGGTATCTTTTCTGAGAGTCTAGGGGAATTATGATAATGGGACAATCTTGCTCTCAGCACACAGCTAGATACAATCTTATGATATTATTTTAAAGGTAGGTGTCATTTTAATTTCCATTTTTCATACACATACATGCAGCTTACTAAATCGTCTAAAGCAAAGATAATATATCTGATTTGGGATTTTAAGAACATATATATATATTTACTCAGGCGTTCTAAGGATAAAATGGGTCAAATTTCTTATTCAGAGCTATTATTTATTCTTCTCCATTTTGGAGGGAAAAAATAGATCATTGGGAATCTAAATAATATCTTCATATTCTCAGTATTAGAATCAATGGTAGAAAGTACCTGGTTGACATGGTCCAGTTTGGGGCAAGGCCTCCCTCCATTATATGGTTTTTCACGCAACCACTTGGACCGAACCTTCACGCCGCTCCCACAGGACTTACTGCAGCGGGACCAGTTGGACCACTCGCTGAGCTTGCAGTCGGAGGGACACGGGATGATGCAGGCCTCTTCGATGTAACCTGAACAGAGACAAACCAGATGAGAGCCACCTTCTCCGCATGCCACTGGCCCACTTCCACCCATCATTCTAGCTCACTCAGAAGGTCCAAGTTTGACTTGACAGCCCCAGGCAAATGCAAAGACGTCTGCGTTGTTAAGGACCCAAATTAAATTCTGCAGGAAAATGACACATACATAAGGCGACTCTGGTAAAATAACAGCTGAGCAGCCGCCGTATGATCTGCTTAGGATTCATGCTCTCCATATTTCAACATCTCTGCCTCTCTGACAGCTCGTGTTTAATTGACAATAACCTGTCTGCTGCTGTATCGTTCTCATGCTGTCAGAGTGATACATTAAGAAAAGGATAACAGCTTTCTCTCAAATTCCCTGTTAATGTCACACAAGTTTTAAGTGTTTGAGTCCGTGCAATGTTCTTCCAGGAGAAAGCCAGACACTCAGTCAACATCCAACAGGAACGGTTTAACTTAGCACCTTATGTTTCCCCTTCTTAGCAAATCAACTCTGGAGAAGAAAAATGAAGGATGTTACGTAAAAAATGCCAGCATTTTTAGTGCTATCAATTTCAAAACAGTTTCCCATCTTGCATTCAGGTGATTCTCTCAAAAATCTTCCACATGTTTTGGGCAGGTACTGACCGTCTGCTGGACAGATAGGAAAACAAACACAGAAAGATAACTGGCAAGTGCAGGATCACACAGCAAGAGATGGGGTCTGGTCCAGGGCTGGTTCCATCGAATCACACAGCTAATTAACTTACTAGTCTACAGATGTGATTTGAGAAATGGGTGCATTTTCCTGGAATAGTCCCTTATTACCAAGTTGGCATTTTACAACATCAATTCATCACCAGTATTCTCCAGGCAACTATGTGGAAAAGGCAAAATTTCCTTTGGTTGAGAGTCAAATGCATGGTTGTTCTGTGTAATACTCTGATGTGCAGAGGGTTTGCTCTTGTAGCATTTTACATCAGCATCAAGGATTCCGTTTTGAAAGTGATAATTATATAAACAACTAGGAAATTCTAGGGTGGTTTATAACTTTTTTAAAAAATTGAGATACAATTCCTACACAGTAAAAGTCAGCTCATGTTTTGTTTAATATATTCATTGAGTCATAAACAATCATCACCACTATCTAATTTTAGAACATTTTCATCACCACAAAAAGAAACCCTATGCCCATTAGCAGTCACCTCCCATTTTCCCCTCCCCCATCATCTGGAAAACACTCATCTACTTTCTGTCCTTAAGAATGCACCTATTCTGGACATTTCATAAAATGAAATTAAACATTATGTAGTCTTTTTTGATTGGCTTAATACAATGTTTTCAGGGTCCGTCTATGTTATAACATGTGTTAGTATCTCATTCCTTTTTATGACTGAATAGTGTTCCATTTATGGATAGATCATATTTTGTTAATCTATGAATCAGCTGATGGATATTTTAGCTGTTTCCCTATTTATATGAATAATGCTGTTGTGAACATTTATGTATCAGTTTCTGTGTGAACATGTTTTTAATTCTCATGTGTGTATATCTAGGACTGGAATTGCTGGGTCATATGGCAAATCTACAATTAAATTTTGAGGAATGCCAAACTGTTTTCCAAAGCACACCATTTTACAATACCACTAGCAAGGTATACGTATTCCAATTTTTACATTTGTCAAAACTTGTCTTTCTTATTTTAGTGTCCTTTGAAGAACAAAAGCTTTAACTGTTAATTGAGTCTAGTTCACCTATTTTTGATTTGGTTGCTTGAGCTTTGACGTCACATCTAGAAAACTATTACCTAATCTGAGGTAATTAAGATTTACACTTATGTTTTTCTTCTAAGAGTTTTATAGTTCTAGCTCTCATATTTAGGTATATGATTCACTTAATTTTCGTATATGTTAAAAGGTGGGGGGGGTACAACTTTATTCTTTTGTATGTGATTATCAAGTTATTCCAGGCCCATTTGTTGAAAAGACTATTTTTTTTCTACATTGAATTATTTTGTTGAAATCAGTTGACCATAAATGTAAGGGTTTATATCTGGATTCTAAATATCATTCCATTGATCTCTGTGCCTATACCACACCATCTTGATTACTGTAACTGTAGTAAGTTTCAAAGTCAAGATTTGTGAGTTCTCCTACTATGTTATTTTTCAAGATAGTTTTGGCTTTTTTGGGTCCCTTACTTTTCCATATGCATCTTGGAATCAGCTTGTCAATTTCTGCCCAAAAAGGCAGCTAAGATTAAGAGTTATTTGCTTTTTTGGGTGCCTGGGTGGCTCATTTGGTTGAGCCTCTGCCTTGGGCTAAGGTCATGATCCCAGGGTCCTGGGATGGAGCCCCACATCAGGCTCCCGGCTCGGCAGAAAGCCTGCTTCCCCCTCTCTCTCTGTCTGCTGCTCTGCCTACTTGTGCTCTCTCTCTCTCTCTCTCTCTGTGTCAACTAAATAAATAAAATCTTCAAAAAAATTGTTTCGTATTTCAAAGTAATAGTTTATGAAATAGAATCAAACTAGAATGTCTAAAATTTCCAAATCAATGGCATTCTGTGACCAAATTGTTTAATGTTTGCAAAAAGTATGATTTAAAAAAAAATCCCAATTATTTTCAAATGTTATCAATAGCTTTGGTAAAAGGACACTAGAATTTCAAAGGTAATAATTTAAGGTTTTACTTAAATTCCAGTTCATTAACATACAGTGTGATATTAATTCAAGTATACAATATAGTGATTCAACACCTTTATACAATACCCAGTACATCATCAAGTGTACTCCTGAATCCCCATAACCCATTTAACCAGTCCCCCCATGCACCTCCCCTCTGGTAAATATCAGTTTGTTCTTTATAGTTGAGGGTCTCTTCCTTGGTTTGCTTCTCTCTCTCCTTTTCCTTTGTTCATTAGTTTCATTTCTTAAATTTTACATATGACTGAAATCATATGTTGTTTGTCTTCTCCGACTGACTAATTTCATTTGGCATTTTACTCTCTAGGCTCCAACCAGGCTGTTAAAAGATTTAATTTTTTTTTATGGCTTAGTAATATTCCAGTGTGTGTGTGTGTGTGTGTGTGTGTGTGTGTGTGTGTGTGTCTGTGTGTGTGTACCACATTTTCTTTATCTATTCACCAGTCGATGAATACAGATACTTGGATGTTTTAAAAAGTTGGCTATTGTAAATAATGCTGCTATAAACAATGGAGTGCATATATCCCTTTGAATTAGTATTTTTGTATTCTTTGGGTAAATACCTAGTGGTGTAATTGTTGGATTGTAGGGTAGTTTTATTTTTAAGTTTTTGAGGAACCTCTACACTGTTTCTCAGAGTGGCTGCACCAGTTTGCATCCCCACAAACAGGGCACAGGAGTCCTTTTTCTCTACATCCTTGCCAACAATTGTTGCTTGTGTTGTTGACTGTAACCATTCTGACAGGTGTGAGATGAGATCTCGCTGTAGTTTTGATGTGTATTTCCCTGATCAATGATATTGAGCATCTTTTCATGTATCTGTTGGCCACCTATATGTATGTCTTCTTTTGAAAAATGTCTATTCATGTCTTCTGCCCACTTTTTTTGGGGGGGGGAGAAAGGGCAGAGGGAGAGGAAGAGAGAATCCCAATCAGGCTCCATGCCCAGCACAGACCCCGACGTGGAGCTTGATCCCATAACAAATACGTTCCTGTCTGTGTTCTCCTCTAAGATTTGTATGGCTTCAGGTCTCACATTAGGTCTTCAAACCATTTTGAACTTATTTTTGTGTATGGTATAAGAAAGTAGTCCAGTTTCATTCTTTTGCATGTCGCTGTCCAGTTTTTCCAATACCATTTGAAGAGGCTGTCTTTTTCCCATTGGATATTCTTTCTTGCTTTGTTGAAGATTAATTGACCATATACTTAGTTCATTTCTGAGTTTTCTATTCTGTTTCACTGATCTATGTGTCTGTTTTTGTGCCAGTACCATATTGTTTTTTTTTTTTTTAAAGATTTTATTTATTTGACAGAGAGAGAGAGAGATCACAAGTAGGCAGAGAGGCAGGTAGAGAGAGGAGGAAGCAGGCTCAGTGCTGAGCAGAGAGCCCGATGCGGGGCTCGATCCCAGGACCCTGAGATCATGACCTGAGCCGAAGGCAGAGGCTTAACCCACTGAGCCACCCAGGCGCCCCCTATTGTTTTGATCACTATAGCTTTGCAATATAATTTGAAGTTCAGAATTGTAATGCTTCCAGCTTCACTTTTCTTTTTCAATTGCTTTGACTCTCAGGGTCTTTGTGGTGCCATCTAAATTATAGTATTATCTGTTCTACTTTTCACAGAATACTATTGGTATTTTGATAGGCATTGCATTAAGTGTGTAGACTGCTTTGGTTGGTATAGACATTTTAATAATATTTGTTCTTCCAATCCATGAGCAGGGAATGTCTTCCCATTTGTTTGTATCATTTCAGTTTCTCCCCCCCGTGTTTTATAGTTTTCAGAGTACCTGTTGTTTGACTCTTTGGTCAGATTTATTCCTAGGTATCTTATGGTTTTTGGTGCAACTGTAAATTGGATCAGTTCCTTAATTTCTCTTTCTACTGCTTCATTATTGCTGTATAGAAATGCAATAGATTTTTGCACATTCATTTTGTATCCCACAACATTACTCAATTTGTGTATCAGTTCTAGCAATTTTTGATGAAGTTTCAGGTTTTCTATATAGAGTATCATGACATCTGCAAACAGTGAAAGTTTGACTTGTTCCTTGCGAACGTGGATGCCTTTTAGTTCTTTGTGTTGTCTGATTGCTGAGGCTAGATCTTCCAGTATGGTGTTAAATAACAAGTGATGAGAGCAGACATCCCTGTCTTATTTCTGACCATAGAGGAAAATTCTCAGTTTTTCTCCATTGAGGATGATACTAAACTGTGGGTTTTTCACATATGACCTTTATTATGTTGTGGTATGTTCCTCTATCCCTACTTTGTTGAGTTTTTTTTTTTTTTTTTGATCATCAATTG